GGAATATTACTCGGCCATAAAAAGAAACGAAATTGAGCTATTTGTAATGAGGTGGATAGACCTAGAGTCTGTCATACAGAGTGAAGTAAGTCAGAAAGAGAAAGACAAATACCGTATGCTAACACATATATATGGAATTTAAGAAAAAAAAATGTTATGAAGAACCTAGGGGTAAAACAGGAACAAAGACAGAGACCTACTGGAGAACAGACTTGAGGATATAGGGAGCGGGAAGGGTGAGCTGTGACAGGGCGAGAGAGAGGCATGGACATATATACACTACCAAACGTAAGGTAGATAGCTAGTGGGAAGCAGCTGCATAGCACAGGGAGATCAGCTTGGGGCTTTGTTACCTACCTACCTACCGCCTGGAGGGGTGGGATAGGGAGGGTGGGAGGGAGGGAGACGCAAGAGGGAAGAGATATGGGAACATATGTATATGTATAACTGATTCACTTTGTTATAAAGCAGAAACTAACACATCATTGTAAAGCAATTATACCCCAATAAAGATGTTATAAAAAAAAGAATAAATAGAATCCTTTCCAAAAAAAACAAAAAAAATGCATTTTTCTAACAACAAAAGGAATCAATGCACACAGGGGCAGGAACCCCTTGGGAAAACACATGACAGGTTAACACAAAGCAGGTGTCAGAGACAAACAATTTCAGATTAAAATTTTAAACAGCTAGGCAGCATGCTATGCTATTATTTATAACAAAATCCTCTGCTATTATTTATAACAAAATCTTCTGAACATGGACATTTCAGATCCTGAATTTCTTTATTCACATGGTGATGTGGTTGGATTACCTCAGAAAACTCTTCCAGGTTTAATATTCTGCCTGCAGTGCCTAGTGTCAGGTCTGTGGTGGGGCTGGGGGAGGGGGGGTTCCTCTCTAAGGGAGTCAAATTCTCTCATCCCAAAGAACCTGCCCCACACTGTCCTGCCAGTGTTTTTAATTTCTACCACTGCACAGAGTCTCAGATTGAAGGAAGTCCTACAGATTCCTCAGAGGCCTAACAAGTTTGTCCAAGAAGCAGATGACACCATTCTCCCCTGGCAGAGGGAGGGATGGAGGCAGTTAAGTTCCAGCTGACTGGGGCAATCACATCTGTGCTGAGCACCCAGTACCTACAAAACAAGGCTCCTCGCCTGGGGTCCACAAACAGGATAAGATGACTCCACTGTGAGCCAGGAAAGTAGTGTCATATTGACACAGAATGACTGCCCAGCCCAAGGTCTGGGGCTGGTGAGGACCCAGGAGAGCCAGGCCTGGGCCAGTCGGTCCTGGGGGACCCAGTTCTGAGAGGTCCTAGAGCCACTGGCCAGAACAATGAAAACCCATGGCACTAAGGAGGGGCAGGCAGAGGATAGCAGGAAGGTCTGTCCCTGCAGCCACTCTCTGACCCCTCTCCAACCCTCTCCCATCCACCAACTGAGAAAATAGCCACACCCTCACATCAGATTATTAGTGATGGGGCACTAGAGGAGAGAGGAAGATGGCGAGTTTCACTTTAGTAATCACTCATTTCCTCAGTACACATCTTTCTCAAGGAGGCTCATCTGTACTGGCTTTGCAGGTGTCACTTCAACCCTCAGAGCTGTGGCGGGTGCAGTGGCACTAAGCTCTCAGGGGCCCACACTGAGCAGTCTTGCATGGGAAACCACATCTGTCCGTCACATGGACCCAGGCCCCAGGCCAGCAGGGTTTCAATGGCAGAGTGGGGTGGTAGGACACAGCAAAGAAAAGCCTGCAGCCAATTCTGTCCCCGCCAGCTTTGCTTTTTATCTGGACTGCCCTCTGGAGAATCACCTCTATTTGTGAACTAGAGAAAGGGAATCTACAGTTACCTTCTGAGAATGAATCAAAACCTCACACTAATGTTCAAGTTATGAAAAATGCCCATTCAAATGATCTTAAATAATATTTAATTTATAAATATTAATATTAAAAAACTTCATATTTAATACTTTATTAGGATTTATTTTAAAAACTAATTTATACATAGGTTTCAAATAGAAAAATTACTACTTTTTTGTTATTTGGATTTTTAAATTCTCTTTTTAAATACTATACAGTGAAAAATAAATACACCTTCTCATCCACCAGACAAGTTTGGTTCTCCCTCTCCTGGGGGACCTTGTCACCTCCCCATATATGCACTCCTGGTTCTACTCCAAAAGCTCCCCAGTGCCTCCCACCCACTTATACGCTTACCATCCCCACCTTCCACAGTGATGAGGCCCCAGAAATGGGGGTACAGCATCGAGGAGGGAGAGCAGGGGAGCCCCACTGAACTGTCAAGTCTGGGTGGGTCAAGGAACAACCTTGCCAATAGGTAGAGAAGGGGGTGTCCAGAGAGAGTAGGAGGGATGGAAGTTAAGGAGTCATTTGGAATTCTGGAACTCCAGGAAGAGCTTGGTCATACCCTTCTGACCCCAGGGAGGATGAAGTGACTCAGATGCATTCATACGTAATAATTTAACCTCATATCTCAGACTGTCCACCAGAAAGTAGGGCAGGAAAAAATGTGGTTACTTACATTTATTAGGAATAGCATTTTTCCAATCAAGTGACCAATGAAAGAAAACAAAAATGCAAACAAAGACACAAAAAGATTTTACTTTCCAAATATTCCAACTTCTCCAAGTTTCCCTTATTCCCTAAGCTTGCAAGAGGGTGGGGGGTGGGGGTGGCACTGTTTCTGAAGGAGCGCCTCCCTTCTTTTAACTTGTCTAGGGGAACCCTCACTGCTTGTTACCTGGGCAATCAGAAACACAAATCTGTTCAGAGCACAATTTCCTGTAATGTAAAACATGTGATGAATTAGCACTTGAAAACAGCTAAAGGAGAGAGTTTACCTTTCTGATAACTAGCCTACTGGTGAAAGAATACTCCAGGGAATAGGCAAGGCTTGTCAACCACTTCAGAATTCTTCCCCTGCAGGGGTGAACCACATTGTGAGGCTGTGGTCTCTGGTTTGTGAAGTGTACCTAAGGGCTCAGTGCTTCCCAGGCCTCCTGAAGGCAAGACAGGGAAATCAGGAATGATGGCCAGGGAAGGCCTGTAGTCCCAGGGCCCTGGGTCTGGGGCCTGCTGAGAGGCACAGTGCTGGTGGCCGGCTGCATCCCGCAGCCGCCCTGCACTTTCCTGCACTCTGAGCAACTTGGCATTTGTATTCTTCCCAACTGTAAATTTACTCACTAGACTAGGAAATGTGATGGAATTACATTTCATCATGTAGCTCTTGTCATGGACACTGTCTAAAGAAGAACTTTCTGTAATGCTAGAAATGTTCCTATAAAAAGAGTGACAATTCAGCACTTAAAATGTGGCTAGTGCCACTGAGGAAGTGAATTTTTAACTTTATTTACTTTTCACTAATTTAAATGTCAACAGCCTTCTATGACCAGTGGCAATGGTACTGGGCAGCAGGGGTCTGTAGGTAATCAGAGCTTCCGCTGCAAGCCAGGGAGCAGACCTACTTCCAGGGGAAAAGCAGACAGATGTTCCTCCATGGGATGAAGTTGGGGGACTGTCACTGGGTACCCGAGAGACACCATCTGGCCAGTGACACAGGCATCCCTGTTCTTAAACTCAGAGCAGCCAACCAGATCAGCCCAGCAGAGGTGAGGCAGATGTGTGTGTGTGTGGGGGTGGGTGGGAGGGTCAAACAGGTGTGAAAAGTCCAGAGGGAGGATGCAGAGAAGGACAGAAAGGAGAGGAAACTAAGTATGTACTGATGACACCCTCACCCCTCGGGCAGCCTGTACCAGGCTGTCGCCCACTCCCACCTGGCAGTATCATCACTGCCCTGAACTGAGGATCAGATATGAGGCTCCCAGCACCCCCATCCTTCAATGCTCAATCTGCTCAGCTTCCACAAATTATGAAAATGTCATAATTTAATGCACCAAATAGAATTATGCAGAAACTTCTTTCTGGATGGCTTACTAAATGAAGCATCATTTCTTTTTCTTCCTTTCTTTCTTTTTTTTTTTTTCCACTCTTACCTTACAGTGTCTGGTAAAAGGTTTTGTAGCTTGGTTTGAAAGAGTTGGAATGATTAATCATGTAATATCCTTTAAAGTCACGTTATTTAACCAATGTACGAACTCCTCATCTAACCCGTGTGGTTGAGCTTATGCTGCCACATGGTTGAAGGTGCTGGGGACACAGCAGTTCCTGCTTAATTCCACTGGAGGCAGAGACAGTAAGGAAGGCTGTAGAGTGTCCTGTGGTGTAAGAGCTGCCAAACCATGGCAAAATCAAGCAGGCCTCAGGGGGGTGGCCAGGAAAGGCCTCTCTGATGAGAGGACACTTCAGCAGAGCCCACAGGAAGGGAGGAGGGATCCAGGGAGGCTAAATAGGCCCTGAGGTGGACATGAGGCTTGGGGCTGAGGTGGGGCAGGTCAGGCACCCGTGTCATCCATGCAACACACAGGATATTGAAGTGTGCTTTGGAGGCTGTGAGTACCTTTCACAAGGCAAGCCTAACGACCTGCAGGCATCCAAGTGTGTGCTGCTTCCAGAGAGCCTGATGCCCTGAGACATGGGGCTGAGCACCTCCTGGTCAACCTTAGATGACAGTCAAAGCAGAAGTCCACCCAATGCTCTATCTGTGTGTTTAGTACTGAAACTTAACTAATCTTAAGATTTCAAGAAAGTGTTAAGCACCTTTCAAGAGATTTCAAGCATCTCTCCTGACCTTCTCCCCAAATGTGTCTATTTGGAGACTTTGGTGGTCACTGTCAATTTTACAGCCCACCTAACATCTGCCATGCGTCCCAAATACTCTTCCTTCTGTGTTGTCTCTAGTTATTTCAACTAATTCCATTCTACTTTGTCACTCCTTGAAGGCAAGCCACACATGTCCCTCGATAGATATACCACCCAGATCATAGACTATCTGTCCATCTTCAAAGTTGCACAGGTTCACTCTTTCAGTGATGTGATCCTTGATGGTAAAGACAAGGGCACCGGAGGTTCCAATGGCCCGTCCTTTCTGCAGGATCTAGAGAAGCCATTCTCCTTTGTATCTTCCTTCACTCTTAAAACTCCTTCATTTTTATGTGTCTTGATTGGGATCATCAAAAACACTCTACTGATCACTGCTCTGAATATGGCCTTGAACCTGTTCTTAGCACCGGCATTGCCACCAGAACCACATGCCAGACCTGTATGTGGCAGTACAGCTCAGGTACAGACATTCAGACAACATTAACTGTGTACTAGTATCGGATGTTGGGTAATACTCCTGTTTTCTTTCTTGGCTTTGTGTGCTGTTTTCTGGAATTATACTTCAGTTCTTGGTCTTGCATTTTGATATCAGTAGGATGAGTGATAACCCATTCACTGTACAGCATGGACTTAGCTCTGAGCCTGTGACAAACAATACTGGATGAGAACAGCAGGCTGCTGGTCCATCTCCCTAGAGATAACACCAGACTGGCTGGTGATCCAACAGAGAAGGACAGCAGGAGCCCACCAAGACTGGGCTATGGGATCTGTTCCTGGGTGGACAGGATGTTTTACAGCAGTGAGACTGAAAGAGAATTTGGAGCAGCGGCTTTGCCTGATAAGGGCAGCTTCAGGTGGTGAGGCAGGACAGACAAGACGCCTGTCTGGAGACCTTCAATGATGATGACCGAGAGTCAGAAAACAAGGAGGCAGAAACAGGTTTTCCAAATACATGAAGTTAATGGGAGGAAAAATAAATAGAAACACATACAAATGACAGTGGGGTCACTCTTGTCTGTGTTCTGTATATGTTTCAGGCTCTGTTTAGTAATCATCTGCTTACATGTAACCACGTAACAGTCTGCAGTGGGAGGGTGGGTTCTTTTCTCTTAAAATACATAAACTTTTCTTTCATGTCAGGGTTGGGGTAATACGTTAAGAAGACCTTTCAGAATAAGAATCAAAGTCAGAGATTTTCAGTATCAGAAGGCATCAGAAATGTTACAGAGGATGGTAAGGCTGAGTCCACACCAGGTCAAGATCATGTTCTTAAAGGTTCTGAGAGAGAAAAGCAGTTAATGGTGGTAGCCTGTGTGCTCGAGGAAGTAAGTCTGGAGAGGGGATGTGTCAGCTGAAGGAAGTGACAGAAACAGTAGGACTAAGGAGGAAAGGGCTCATGAGGAGAAGATTGGTAAACATGAGATAATTTAAAAGACAGGATTATGTATGTGTATACATTTATTTGTATAGAATGAAATTAGAACACTCCCTAACACCATACACACACAAAAAAAACCTCAAAATGGATTAAAGACCTAAATGTAAAGCCAGAAACTATCAAACTCTTAGAGGAAAACATAGGCAGAACACTCTATGACATAAGTCACAGCAAGATCCTTTTTGACCCACCTCCCAGAGAAATGGAAATAAAAACAAAAACTGACAAAGGATTAATCTCTAAAATTTACAGGCAGCTCATGCAGCTCAATAACAAAAAAATAAACAACCCAATCCAAAAATGGGCAGAAGACCTAAATAGACATTTCTCCAAAGAAGATATACAGACTGCCAACAAACACATGAAAGAATGCTCAACATCATTAATCATTAGAGAAATGCAAATCAAAACTACAATGAGATATCATCTCACACCAGTCAGAATGGCCATCATCAAAAAATCTAGAAACAGGGGCTTCCCTGGTGGCACAATGGTTGAGAGTCCGCCTGCCGATGCAGGGGACACGGGTTCGTCTACCGGTCCGGGAGGATCCCTACACATGAAAGAATGCTCAACATCATTAATCATTAGAGAAATGCAAATCAAAACTACAATGAGATATCATCTCACACCAGTCAGAATGGCCATCATCAAAAAATCTAGAAACAATAAATGCTGGAGAGGGTGTGGAGAAAAGGGAACACTCTTGCACTGCTGGTGGGAATGTGAATTGGTTCAGCCACTATGGAGAACAGTATGGAGGTTCCTTAAAAAACTACAAATAGAACTACCATATGACCCAGCAATCCCACTACTGGGCATATACCCTGAGAAAACCATAATTCAAAAAGAGTCATGTACCAAAATGTTCATTGCAGCTCTATTTACAATAGCCTGGAGATGGAAACAACCTAAGTGTCCATCATCAGATGAATGGATAAAGAAGATGTGGCACATATATACAATGGAATATTACTCAGCCATAAAAAGAAATGAAATTGAGCTATTTGTAATGAGGTAGATGGACCAAGAGTCTGTCATACAGAGTGAAGTAAGTCAGAAACAGAAAGACAAATACTGTATGCTAACACACATATATGGAATTTAAGAAAAAAAATGTCATTAAGAACCTAGGGGTAAGACAGGAATAAAGACACAGACCTACTAGAGGATGGACTTGAGGATATGGGGAGCGGGAAGGGTAAGCTGTGACAAAGTGAGAGAGTGGCATGGACATATATACACTACCAAACGTAAAATAGATAGCTAGTGGGAAGCAGCCGCATAGCACAGGGAGATCTGCTCGGTGCTTTGTGACCACCTAGAGGGGTGGGATAGGGAGGGTGGGAGGGAGGGAGACGCAAGAGGGAAGAGATATGGGAACATATGTATATGTATAACTGATTCACTTTGTTATAAAGCAGAAACTAACACACCATTGTAAAGCAATTATACTCCAATAAAGATGTAAAAAAAAAAACAAAAAAAAACAAAGAAGACCGAGCAGAGACTTCACACTTTCTCCATCCTCTGTCCACACACACACACACACAAAATAATAATAATGATAAATAAATAAATAAACACAGCCCCCAGTCCTCTACATAGCCAGAGATGAAAGGCTCTCACACTTTCAGGCAAGCCAACATACCTCACTGATTTTCCTTAGCCCAGGCTCCCATCCCTCCCACTCCAGGGGCAAGAGGAGCTGCTGCAGGACCAGGCATCACTCACGTGGACTGGTGCTCGAAGAGGGCTGTCTGCTTCCTGCTGTGCATTTTCTGTAGTCCTGTCCAGGTGAGCAGGGCCCTTTGAGACTAACACAGCACCCCCCTCCACCTCCAGTGCATCAGAAGGGAGATAGCAGGCTTCTCATCAATTCACTACTTCTAGGATACAGGGAGAGAGAATGAGCTTAACCACCATGGACCTAACTATTCTCTTCAATAATTTATTCATCAAGGAATATTTAATACATTGTATCCTTTTTTCACTGAAATTGTTTATTAGAAGAGAATAATTTAGACTCATAATGTATTCTGTGTCAAAATATATTCATCAAACAAGAGAAAATGGCCTTTCCCCTTTTCATCTATGTCTCCTTGCCTCCTGCCTCCAAGTCAAGGTTGAATGGTCATAAACAGAATTTTTAGGAATATTCTCTGTAGTCTCAGCACTTAGAACGTGGCCTGACAAAACAGTTGCCACAATTCATGTCCAAGGCACAGAGTCACCACTGGTGCACCCTGGGTCTTGTCCTTGGTCCACCACACTGCCCAGCTGTCCTTTTATTCCCCAGCCACAGTCCAGAAAGATCGTGATCCCATCCAGTAAGTGGCCATGTACAAATGTACAGGAAGACCTTGGTTCTTGCATAAGGCAAGAATGAGGCTCCTGGTGGATCCAGATGAAAAGACAACTGCTTGGACCACACTCCACTGCATTTCAGGCCAGAGGCATGAAAAGAATCGATTATTTAAGTACCTATTGACTTTAACATTAAATTCATTCTCTGTTATTTTAGAGAGTTATTTTAAGTTTGAAGAATCTGCCCTCAATCCATATTCCAGGTGGTTGAACACCATTTCCAAGTTCAAAGTTAGACTGAATTATGACATACAGAGTTTCCTGCAACGAAATTGGATTTTACTCCATTTAACACAGCAACAGTTATTATCATAAAGCATGTGTCCATTTTCCCTGAGAAAATTAATCTAAAATTGTTTCACTTCTTATAGTCCATTTTCACTTTAAACTTATTTTTTCCTCAGTTGTAAGAGGCCCACTACGATTTATAGTGTAGTCAGATTTATTATTTATTGACATAAAAATTGAATTTTTGTATGAGAAACTCTTGCAAACCTCAGGTAAACAAAAGTAGTATTAAAGTTTTCCCATCTATTATTTAGATCAGTTGATGAAGTAGAAAGAATCTTTGCTAAGATAAAAATTTTTTAATATGTTTTGCAAAGCTTAGATAATTGGATTATTCTTTCCTTCATACAGCTGTGGAAGAGTCAATACAATTTAGATAGTCTCTGTCTACCAAGCAAAACATGAAGTGTTACCATATCAAGCAAATGAATTATTTTAAGAGAAGATGACAATAAGCTTGAAACTCTTATTTTTGTGTCCACATCCAGGATATTAAGGAGGGTTCTAGGATGGCAACCTTGACCAGCCGCTGTCTTTCTTTGCCAAAAGATTTTTTTAAGTAACAAAATTGGGTTTTCAAGTTCACATTCATGAAATATAGCAATGGCATTTAGAAATTCACAGCTGATTTCATTAAAGTCTAACATCTCCTTGGAATAGGACCATGCCCTCCTCTTCTGCCTCTAAAGTCCTTTTCCCCTTCCCATTTCATAATACCTTT